CTAGTGAAATGTGTGTGGTGCATTCAAGTACAGTATTCACTAGCTTATCCAAATAGGTTAACTTTACAGAAAACTGTTAGCTTTCTAGTTTCAAACAATTCCTTGTAACAGATTTACGAACTCATTGCGGTGTCGCGTCGTCGGTAGCACATACAAACCTTAAAGAGTTACTTAAAGCTCAGTACAAATTGTATGAAAAGACAACAGAATATCAACCTCATTCTGGCATTATTCTCTAAACCTTAAATTAGATAGCAGTGAATCCGTATCAAGCTCTACAAAGATTAAAACGGAGACTACTGCCTTTAATATTAAGTTTGTTTAATAATAAAACGGACTTACCTGTACATGAAGTTCTATTACAATTATGCGAGCTGCTCAATTCGAAGCGATTAATTAACTTGTAGTAGTATGTGGTGGTAGTGGAAGTATAGCAACTTTCGCAATGATCGGTCATTGGATGGGTGACCAAATACTTATTATCTCGAGCTCCTCCGAGCTTTGTCTTGAAAGTATGGATAAAATTTCAATTATATTATGATGGCTTGGGATCTCAGGCAGTTAAATAAGTTTAATTTAAAATTTTCTAGTACAATTTTCTTAAGACTTACACATCTAGCTGTTAAGTTAAATTTATCCAAAAGGTTTAAGTTTTTCAGCTTCCGACGAATTAGTTCCATCTTCTCTCTGCGCACATCAGATTCAGGTTCATATTCGAGATTCGGGCAAATATTAACAAACCATCGAACATTTAATTTTGTCACTACTGTTTACAAGATAAGTTCACAAGAGCCGGTGAAAGTTATTTTGTGCGCACTAGTCTTGGTGTATAAATAATTTTAACTGCTTCGTCTTAGGAAAATCGGTCCAAGATAAAAGCACGTTGCTCGGCTCACACGGCGGCATTCGTTCCGAATTGGTGAAATCGCAAACTTCTCGGAACCACTTTGAAACGTGTAGGCCGTGCCCACTGACTCGAAAGGATTCTTTTTCGATGTCTCTGTTTAAACGGTTTCAGGGTACCAAACCCAAATGGTAACAACGGCACCCTATTAGTTATATAGCCTCTATCGTCCTTCTCCGTCCGCCCCCGCTCCCCACGACAACGGCTAACTAGAGCCGAGGTCTGAGTCTCAGAGACGCCTTCTAGTTGAGCCGACTGCCTCAGGTTTGAATGATCTAGAGGCTCCAGACGGAGAGGAGACTTCCCCCGTGGGGAGATGCCATCCGCCTGAAATACCTCTAGAGGCACTCGCCATTTAAGCTTGAGGTCCGGAGGAGGTAAGGATCTCGCCGTCCCCAAACCCGGTGACGCTGTAAAGGTCATCGACCAACAGCATTCACACTCAAAAAAAACTCCGTACGCAGTACAACACTGCACGACTGGTATAAGGAGACAGTAGAAATTTTCACGTGCAAAAAAACATGCTCCAGAAAAAAAAGCACGGTTTTTCATGATTCTTTTACGGTATTTTCACGGTATAAAAAATAGTACTTTATTTTGGATCTTTAACGTGTACATGGTATTTTCTTTTTAATAGTGTGCCAAAAATTGTCTCCACATAGAATAGTAATCTATTGCAAAAATCGCATTTTAAACTGCCACAGATTCTTATTGTTTACACTGCCTAGCTATAAATCAGAGATCCAAACTATACTCCTATACGTGATGCATGCAACTATTTTCGACCACATGTCAGAAAACAATGACGGAAAAAAAGTTGTAATGTAAACAATGATTTCAATAATGCCGAGAATTATTAACGAAAGCGATAGTCAGTAGGACAAATTCATAACGCATTAATGCCAAAACAATTAAAACAAAATACTGATCACTGAACAACAAAATCTTAAACGGTTTTGTTTTTCAAATGAAGCAAATTAAATAAGGTAACTTTATGTATTTTTTTTTTTGCGACCGAGATTTAGGTTTCCGTTACCGAAGGGTCCAAACTACAGACCTAGATTAAAATAGATGCTACTTCAAATTGTATGGAAACCGAGCGTGTCAGATTTTGAGTATACACTCAAGAATAAATAAGTGGTGAAAAAGCATGGGCCAGGTCACCTATTTCAATTCGAATTCGAATTTAAAGCTTTATATGACATATTTAGATATTTTTTAAGCATTACGATTGACGATCAATGAGAACGAGAGAGTTTGAGAACGGTGATGGGAAGAAATCATCAGCCTATTAATGTCCCCACTGCTGGGGCGCAGGCCTTCGCTATGGATGGAAATAGGGACATTGGCCCATGACCCACCAGGCAGGCCCAGTGCGGATTGGCGGGTGCTAACGACTGCAGATGCAGCCGGGACCAACAGCTTAACGTGCCTTCCGAAGCACGGAGGAACTCGAGATAGAAGATTTGTGGTCACCCATCCAATGACCGACCACTGCGAAAGTTGCTTAACTTCAACGATCGCAACCTAACGCGCTTACCACCCGCACCATCAAGCTCCAGAAACAAATAAATTAGTGTAAAAGGAAGACCATTGGTCACTCTTTGGGCGCGATGTACATACATTTTTTATGACCTCCGTGACCAAGTGGATTGTACGCCAGGTTTCATGGTGTCGCCTACTCGAGAGGACCCGGGTTCGAATCACGAAATCGTTTGTGTGATGAATACGAGTATTTGTACTGCAATCGTGGATGTTAAATATGTATTCTCTGTATAAATATACTTATATATGTATCAGTATATGTATTCTATCCGTTACCCTAGTATCCCATAACTCAAGCCTACAGTGCTAACTTTGGGGCTAGGCTAATTGGTGTGATTGTTAAAAAAATTGTCGGCAGCTATAGTTGTTAGACAACAATATCAGTAACTACAAGTACAAACATCTCTGCAAAACATGAGATACTACCATTCGCGTTCACTATACATCTAATTTATTTACATTTGTACCTATATTTAGACAGTTTTAAATATCCATTGCATTTTTCAAATACAAAAGTTCCTTGCTTAACAATTTCAACGCACGTAAAAATTTACTTTAGGAAAACTACATAGGAACCCTATGAAATATTGACCTATTATGCGTTGTAGAGAAAATGAGAGTATGTTTCCGACGTGTTCGACAAGACTGTCGTTTGCGGTGGTTAAGCAACTTTCGCAATAGTTGCTCACTGGATGGGTGACTAAAAGTTTTGCTTTAAATTTCGATCTGCTACACTGTACTAGCGTTCGTTCCCTACAAGCCACACTGGGCTCATTTGGTCGGTTATAGTTTTTTTTTCAGTGTGTATGCTGTTGGTCACAGGTGCACTTTGTGATACCTGGCGGGTGCGCGGCCATTCGGAGACGGGTTCCACGACCACACCCGCACGCACTAGGGGGACCGCGGTCCTCATAGTGCGTGTCGGGTGACGGTGCAGGAGTATTGTCTGGTTTTTAGTGGCCCTGTTCAGAGCCTAGGTAGGGCCCTGTTCACATCAGTGAGCTCCAGGGCTGGCTGAAGAGGACAGGGAGGAGTCCCACATACCTTCTTCTCGCTCCCCCAGTGGTTGAAGGATGCGTAAGGCATTTTGCCAGACACAAAAAAGGCGCACTTTGTGACAGCGTCACCGGGTTTGTAGACGGCGAGATCCTAAAGGAACCTCAAGCCGAGAATTAGCGAGTGCCTCTAGAGATATTCCAGGCGGATGGCATCTCGCCTCGGAAGGAGTCTCCTCTCCGTCTGGAGCCTCTAGAGCACTCGAATCAGAGTGGGTCGGCTCAACTAGAGAGCGTCCCTGAGACTCGGACCTTGGTTCATTTTTTCTGTGCATTTATTTATTTACCATAAGTATTCAATATTCTTACCATCTTTAATATCACTCAAGTTAAGTCACAAGACTGACAGAAAATAGTAGAAAACTACGTATTACAAACTTCCAATTTGAATAAAAATATTTTTAATCTATTTACATATTTAACTAGAGAGCAAGGCAAAAGAAAAACTTAATTACAAAAATAAATAATGCCATGTGATCTGAATAGATCTTTGTAAAAAAAAGAATTGAGTCGTATTTTGATCTGTCAGTATGTCGTTACAATTAATTAATAATAACTTTATTAATAACTTAGGTTATAGTATCAGGATACTGGTTCCATTCCACTCTTCAAAAAATGCTGTTTTAAACCTCACATTACAGATTCAGAGTTCTATAATCTGAGTTTAAACCTGTTACCTTCGATCACAGATTAAGATTTTTTTATTAGAAATACCGTAGGATTTTAATTTATTGCCATCTGAAAGTAGGTAAGTTAAATGTAGTTCGTGTTATATAAATCTAGTTTTAGTATAAAGTTAGGACTAAAAATATTTCTCACGGACGCCCGCGCCCCCGCAATTTTTGTATGTGAATTAATGATTGATCATGTGGTAAGAATCATTTATCTATGGCGTATTATAGATTTCTGCTACAAAAGTAAAAAGATAAGATTGACTAAATTTAAATTGAAGTAAAGATAAGGTAACTCTTAATACCTAATCTGTATAAATCGGAGAAAACTTTTCAACCCGTAATGACATCTCTTCAGTCTGAATTTAATTACACGGTGCGTTTATGAATTCCTATGTTATGTTCTTATTCTTTAACAGTGCCGATAAAGTAACTAAACAAACAGCTGAAAGAATAAATAATTAATGATACCAATTTTATAATAATTAAAAGCTGCATTAATTAAAAATTTGATTAATAATGATAAGTATTATGTTTTGTTTACGGACAACGTTTATACAAAATAAATCACCAGTGCTTTAATTAACAAACCTTATTAGAATATGTAACTTCTGCAAAATTATTAACAAATTCGTATGATTGTGAAGAAAAGAAAATTGCCTCTAACAAAAAACTACCTAAAAAAGTGTTTTAAATAAATAACTTGATTAGCTATGAGAATTATAAATAAAAAAGTGAATGAAATATTAATATTAATTACAATAATATTTTTGTATAAAAAAGTTTCGTAACCTATTAAAAGCCTTATTTAAAACTTTGACTCACCACCAAGAGCCAAACGCAGCTTGCACTAGCAAAAGGAGAGTACCCAAAGCTCTCCAAATCAGCGTCATATTGTTTCAAAACTAGTGCACAACTGTTATCAAGAGATCCACTTCTTTAAAAGTTAACTTCAAACACAACACAAAATCACCGCAATGGATAAACAATAAACTTTCGCCAACTAACTTTTATTGCGTTCGCAACTCAATTCATAACAAAACCACCAAAACAAAACCACAAAACTGAATAATCTAATCACAAAAACATTTTGTACGTATGTAAAGAGCGAATCCAAAAAATAACGAAAAATAAGATGCTGAGAAACTTTTAAAACAAACTTTTCTTAGAGTTAACTCCACCGATCCACAGATAATTAAAAATGGTATTTACGGCGCGCAGGTAAAAATCGTTATAGGAATTGATGCTAAAAAGGTTGGTACTACTCTTTTATCCGTTTCGAAAAAAGAATTTAGTGTAGTCGTTGTTTCGAGCGACGCGCCTGCGACCCGCGCGCATGGGAATACAAAACCAGACTGGCTTGCTTAAAGCCGTTTGTAAGTATTCCATAGGATTCGCTGAAGGGGAAGGGTCTCACAGGAGGGCGTGTAGATGCAATACAGCGTTGCACGAGTTCATCCTTCCAAGCCCTTACCGCGGTATCATCAACATCATTGATTTCACATCTCCGCGCAAATGATTGGATGACTTCAAATGAGGATTCGTCATTTGTAAACAAAACTAAATGATTATCAATTTCATAATCATTTATCGTATTTCTCGATACTGCCACTAATATAATCGTAACCGGAAATATTAATTCCTCTATCTCCGATTGACATTAATTAGATCTATTTATTTATCTGTCTCGATAATAGAATATTATCGATTTTTGTAGAATATTATATTTTAGAAATGTCTTCAAAATTGTAAACGCATTTAACACAAAATATAAATAAGAACATAATACATATTTTGAAAATAATTGATTTATTTGACGGGATTTATGACAAACTGTGTTTTCTTACATTTCAACTGTATTAAAATATTATTCCTTTTATTCTCAGGAAAAAAAAATATCAAATTTATAAGAAAATAAAATAATTCAGACTTATTTAAATAAGTGTCATACTAGCTACATGTTAGTTTATCAGAATGCCACAAGGATACAATCTAGGTCACTCGTTATATGTACAGTCAATACCGGTAAAAAGATTCCATTATATTTTCTCGGCAAATATTTGAAAAGAATAAACCGCCTTGCTGCGTTGCGCCGGCATCAACTTATAACTAATTTTGAAGGAGAGCGGGCCTCGGAAAGGCATGGAGGGTAAAAAACCACTACAATGGGACTTAGGTGAGGCCATTTGTTCCCCCGTGTTTACGATAGCAGTAAAACTGTAATTGCACCGGATCAAACGCACCGACAGATGGACTATATAGAAATGTTTGATCTTCGCATGTTTGGGATTTGAAACTTATGCAATGTGTAATAAGGCTGTTTGAAAAATATGGTTTGATGTTTAGAATCTACGACTTATTTGGGATACGTTGGAATTCGTAATTATAAACTGTAATATAATGTTTGGCTATAGAGTATATGTATTTAGACCATGAATAAAGCATAATCAATAGCGTATCAAATGGTTTTGTGTGTTCAAAAAGTTTTTCATCCAATTATCGTCTGAAAATCAAATGTTGTTGCATAATAGAAACATTTTAATTTAACAGCAGTCGAAAAGGCAATAAAATTATCTTATACTTATTTTTATTCTTCATTTTATAATAGCTAGTCAAATGACTCCAATGTGGTGGTAAAGTGCAAACGCGAAGATAGCTGCAGAAAAGCTTCTTCACGCGTCTTTTAAAGGTCCCCAGATTATAGGAAGAAGGGAACACGTGCAAAGAATTCCACTTGCGAATAGTACGAAAAATATACGTTCATGATCGGGTATACCGTTACCAGGCGTCCGGATAAAGCCGGACATAGTTAGGCTTTTTTATTGCCTGTCCGGCTTTTGTTAGGCTTTTTACATTTCGCAAACGAGCGAACGCCGAGCGTGGCCGAGCGCAAGCGAGTTGACTGTCTGTCACTTTTATTTTTTTGTCGTACTTATATAAAATACGGTGTCCGGCTTTTTTCCCAAATGTCCGGCCAAACTGCCTGGTCTGTCCGGCTATTAGGTTTGACGCCCAGAACCCTAATCGTGTAACAAGAAAGACTAAACCTGTACCAAATATAACCGTAATCCAATTATGCTATAGGTCATGTTTTGTAGTTCAACCTACTCTACTCTCCCCGGGTCAGAAAAAAGCAAACTTGACCATGAATCGAATTCGGATTTGGGGACTTAAGTCCTGAACTCTCTCTCGGTTACTGAAGCCATCATTTTCGTATTTTCGTATACATACAAAGATAAGACACATACACACACACAACCCAGTTTTATTCAGGGCTTGAAACCGGTTTCGAAAATACCGGTAAATAAAGATTTATACCGGTTTTTAGTAAAGGTTTCGTTCGGAGCGCGTCCGAAATGAAAGCGGTACCTAAAACCTTAATAAACCGGTTTAATCTAGAGTGACACGTGCACGCGTCGGCATCGCTAGTTTTGTTTGAACTAATCAAGTCACAACTTGTTAATGCTCAAAAATTGATGCATTTGTTGACAATTAGCGTCTAGTGAGTCAAGTTTTTCATTTATTTTCGATGCCGTCAAAAAGAGTGAAATGAAACCCTTTAAAAACCGCTAAATTGATTCAAAACCTATTTGATTTCGCTCTTTAGGGAAACCGGTTTTATAAGATTACGGTAGAGCCAAACCTAAATAAAACGCTCCTAATGTACTTGACACTGATTAAGGTTTGAAAATTAACCGGTAAACAAGCCCTGGGTTTATTTAAGACTGATACAGCATAAACACTCACTTTCGGCGTTATTGTAAAAAAAAAAGGGGCCTACGTAGTCGAGTGACGTCTTGCACTCAGGTTCTCATAATGTCAAGACCTCGGGTCCGAATCTCAGGACAGGTCAATAAAAAAAATCTTTGTAGCTCTATGGAAGTGGTTTAACACGCTGGCATACCTTTGATACCTTTGATGGTCTGCCCCCTTCAGGGAAATTTAACGCAAATATAATAGCTATTCCATACAAACTTTGAACCCCTATTTTACCTTTAAGGAGTGAGTTTTGGAAAATCTTTTCTTAGCACTAGCATAGCATTATAATAGCTATATGTGTGCCAAATATCAGCGCAATTTGTTAACTGGTTTGAGTTGTGCGTTGAAAGATCAGTCAGGAGCTGTACTCTCTTTCTCCGCGACGAAGTTTCAGCAATTAACTAATTTGTAGAGTTGATGCAATCCATTGCATGTCAACCTAAATTTGTCGTTTAATACTTTGAAGTATTGGAAATACAATAATTAATAAAATGTTGGTGTATTTCTTAATTTGACATGCTAAAAACGTTTCTTACGCTAAGCAGCCTTGATTAAAAATACTGTAGCTGTCATTGTAGGCTTAATTTAAACAAAAATTCAAAAACGAAATAGAAAAGGTAACCCTTTTCATTTCGTCAATTTGCTGGTTAAAATTTCGAACAATTGCCTGTCAAATTCAACTTTTCGTTCGAAAGTGTTATGAATTAGAGTAGGCTTGGAGAATTTAATTGTCATACTATTTTCGGACGAACGAATTTTCTAAATAATAAATAAGTAACAGAGTAAGGAACGTGCGGAATTTCGATCGTCATTTAGTTTTTCGTTGAAATAGAGTAGGCCTCCAGTAACGGTTGTCTTTTATATGTATAATATACAGATAAATGTATGTATATATATAATGTATTTTATTAGGCACAACATAATTTTAGTCCATAGAGCAAGACGTTCGACGCGACTACTCCCCAGGCATGTATAGCCTTCCCCTCTGCCGCATTGGGCATAAAAATTGGGCATACTCACAATGTATGTGTGCACGATTTGGTGGTGTATTATGCCATTGTTTATGTGTGTGTGTTGTAGCTACAGTTTTGTGTCTTACGCATGTACATTAAACTGCATTTGTGTGCATATTCCCCCTGCAAAAAATGGCAGAATGATTTGGACAGTATTATGTCGCTATGGCTACTCCCTTCCGTGTCGCTATATGTTTAAGTCTAATCAAATGTAAAAATGAAGATCAGCCCCGTACAAAGATTAACGACGCTCTGTCCAGTATAAATAGCCAGGTCCATTCATCGTCGGTTGTCGTTTTCGCTCGCCTACAAGTTGTAATGGAGTTAAAACGATCAACACTCAAGGTTTTAGGCCGATATACGGGCAAACTGCAGAATAGTTCCCTCAATTGGCGTTTTGTTAGGGCTAACGCAAACAAATATATTCATTATTATTTCTAGCGGTGGCAATTGGCCCCGCTTTAACTTTGTCTTTTTTAGATTTTTAACTAATTTAAATTTTAAATTTAATTTAACTTCTGTCACCCCATTATGGCATCGTGACTTAAAAGTTTAATCTGATTTATTATAAGTTCATTTAAGTTCTAAATCTATAAATATTTTGAATGGGAAGCGGGAATTATTTGTCAAATAAATTAATTGTATCTTCAGTATTTTTTTACTGAGTGTCAACAACTGCGACTCCAATATTGCAAAAAGTTGATAATTATATAGATTGAATAAAACGAAAACATAAATTTTTACTCACGCTCAGCTCCATCCAGCATCCTTTATGTAACGATCTTATTAATTTCATGTTTTTACATTTTGAATTTCGAAGACCACAAATGCCGAGTTATGCGGCGAATAAGTACACTATAATTATATTATTAATAAATAATAATAATAAATATTTCGAACACTCACACCAATTAGCCTAGCCCCAAAGTAAGCACTGTAAGGCTTGTGTTATGGGATGCTAGGGTAACGGATGGAATACACATACTGTACATATATAAGTATATTCATATAGAAATATATATTAAAACATCCATGACTGGAGTACAAATGCTCGTATTCATCATAGAAACATCTGCCCCCACCGGGATTCGAACCCGGGACCTCTCGAGTCGGCGACACCATGAAACCCGGCGTATAAACCACTCGGCCACGGAGGTCGTCAAATTATATTTATTATTATTTATTTGATTTGATTATTATTTGTATGATATAACATTTCTTAATGATTTTAAGAATAAAATAATTATTTAAATTGATTTACTTAATTCTTTAAGGATTCTATCAAAGGGCGGGTTTTTTGAGTTAAAATAATATTAAGTATATTTAATTTTTTAAACTTCAAAAAAGCAGAGAAAGGAGCGTGCGGTAAAACATTTACGTTTTTTTTATTTCAGTCGAATCTCGGGTGAAAGTGATTTTAGGGTGACAGTGGGGATTTATGGGTGATAATATGGGATTGGTGGGTGATGGTAGGGGTTGGTAGGTGAAAAGTGGGTTGGAGGGAGTAAAGGGGATTCGAGGGTAAAAAGGGTAAATTGGAGGGTGATAGTGGGGATTGATAGGTGATAATAGGG